ATTTATAGTCATGCAAAATCAGGTCTTGTTTACTGTATGGATTATTTGGAAAAGAATATTGACTGGTTGCAATCGAAGTTGGAGCCTCTTTTGAAAGGTAGCTACGCCAATTCTTTCTTTCTTCGTTAATCTCTCTTCTTTTGACTTGCAAAAATCTATTCGGTAGACTGCCTGTTTGGTGTCAAGGCTATTGATAACTTCCGTATTTATTTTGCAGATCACTATCTTCTCTTTGATTTTCCTGGCCAGGTGGAGTTGTTTTTCCTTCATTCTAATGCAAAGAACGTTATCATGAAACTCATAAAGACACTGAATCTTAGGGTGTGTGCTTGTCTTCTCCATCAGGATGCTACCGAATTATTACAACTATCCCTAATAATGTTCAATCTGATAATTAAGAATTTGAATGTGTGCCTCATGTCGTGCAGTTGACTGCTGTGCATTTAGTTGATGCACACCTCTGTAGTGATCCGGGGAAGTATATCAGTGCATTGCTTCTGTCACTATCTACTATGCTGCACCTGGAACTCCCACATGTTAATGTCTTGTCAAAAATTGATCTGATTGAAAGCTATGGAAAGCTTGGTATGGTTATGATCTTTATTTTAAAAGAAATGGTTATAATATTTGTCTTTTGTCCTTGCATAGTAACTGTGAAATGCCGATCTTAGATTAAAGTTCAAAATGCTAATCTATAATAAGTATTGTTGGTTTTGCAGCTTTCAATCTTGATTTCTACACTGATGTCCAAGATTTGTCTTATTTACTGCACCATCTTGATCAGGATCCTCGTTCTGCAAAATACAGGTTTGAGTTTATATTGAGATATGTATCTCAAAGCATGTGTAATTGGTCTTTCTTCCTTTTACTCGAGAGGTTGTTGAGCTATATTAGACCTGTTTTTTAGTGATTACTTATGTCTCCCATGACTTCGAATTCATAGAAGCAAACACAACGAACCTAATGTCTGATGGTGCAGATTCACATCTATTTTATTCTTTCTGGACCAAGAAAATGTCGGGTAGCTGGTTTCTGATATTGTTTTTTGGATTACGTGTATGATGTGACTGCATTTTGAGAGCGGGTCTTAATTGCAAAACTTCTTATTTCTTTTTTGCTTACTTTCAAGATACCCACGCTGGTAAATTTGCAGCTGGTTACTAAAGGTCTTAAAGGCCATCTTTGTTTATTAGCATGCAAAGGGAGTTTCTATAATAAACTTACTTGTAGACTATCCTTTTATATGTAGTTTGAATATCATCTGGCTATGCAGAAGATAACAGATATGTCTTCTCAAGTTGCCAGTTGTCACTTCTGCAGAGGAAAATTTGTGCTTGCAAGCAGTAGTGAAGCATGATTTACCATATTCTCACAACTAATGCTGAAATTTGCTCACTTCACGTACAATGAATTGCTGAAATGCTTAAGTATTGTACTTAGATTAGTTGATTAGGCCTGTCAATTGACTGAATGATGATGTATTTATCAGGTAGCTCACACTAGTCTAATTATTTGGTTTTATTAAAATCATTAATCCCTAGTGAATGGGATGAAAATAGTTGTGAACATTCTGCTAATATAGGAAACAGTAAATATTCTTATTGCTATTGTCAGATCTACTGAATTTTATTTTTTCCTCTTGCTAGGAAGTTCTTCATGTTTGTCCAATGACTACATCTTTTAACTTCTTGGTTTCTATGCTAAGTAGTTCCATGTAATGTTTGTTGTAGAAAACTCACAAGGGAGCTGTGTGAGGTGATTGAAGATTACAGTCTCGTCAATTTTACAACCTTAGATATTCAGGCATGCCGAATTCTCTCCTTTTACTTGGACTGTCTCCTTTTTTAATTTTTGTTTTCTAAAAAAATCATTTATAGATTTGCTAATGGCTAGTCACTCTTTTTCAGAATAAAGAAAGTGTTGGGAATCTTGTAAAGCTGATTGACAAGACCAATGGGTACATATTTGCTGGCATTGAAGCCAGTGCAGTTGAATTCAGCAAGATCGCAGTTCGCCAAGTTGATTGGGATTATTACAGATATCCTTTAAGTGTCAGTTTTCATGTGTTTGCTATTGTTCATCGGTACTTGTACACTTGTATGTAGGCATATGAGTTGCAAAAATTATAACTCTAACTACTCCGATGGAAACTGATGTGGGGTATCTCTACATACGATAAAGATAGATAGAGGTAAAGTATGGGGAAGCGATTAGAAAAATAGGCAGTGAGGAAAAAAAGATGAAGTTGACTTCACTTTAGACGGAGTAAAGGAGAATGTTAGATAGACATAAAGGACAAAACGATAGAAAAGTAATAGACGGAGGCATGGAATAAATTCACTAGAAAATTGATAGACGGAGTAAGGGAGAATGTTAGATAGACATAAAGGACAAAACGATAGAAAAGTAATAGACGGAGGCATGGAATAAATTCACTAGAAAATTATCAATTCCAAGCTTTTCATAAATTGTTGATTAGACGCCTATACATAGGTTCTAAACTTAACCTATAAGGAAAATAACTAATAAAAAAATAAATCCAAAGTGTCCAAAATGTCTTAAAAATTAAATAAATCAAATCTCTTCAAAGGTACCATCTCCTAATTAGAAAAATAAATCTCTTTAAAGGGTATTATAATCAGCCTTCTTATTTAGGCCTTAGAGGGTTCTGCATCAAAAACAATCTTCTAGCTGGCTCTTTCCAACTCATTCACTTTAAAAACAGGAATTTGTTGTTTGGTTGGCCTTTTCTTTTTGGGCTATGAGCTATTCTGGCTCCTAGTGCAATTCTAGGATTTTTGTATGCGCTTGTGTTTTGAGCTGCTTCAGAACTATGAAGCTATGTGCAAAGCTCGGAAGATCCTATCTTTGAATGATTGTGCTTTCCCTTTTTTGTGCATTTATCTTAAACAAATTGATAAAAGAAGTAATGATAGATGTTCTTCCGTGCATATTTTTGGGCATAAATGAATAATTAGAAGTAGATCAATTTAGACAGGGGAAAGTGCTTTGCCATGGAGTTAGTTGATTTTCTTAACGAGGCAGTTCACAGCAGCAGCAGTGCAAGAGAAGTACATGAAGGATGACGAAAGTTTTGGTGACTGATAAGCCGTCATGATGAGTATTTGGTTTCTTGTATAATCTTGTTCACGTTGATTGAATATGAATTTGCTAAGTTTATGCTAAGTTATCGCCCCTTGTTTCTGGTGGCTGTTGACTCTCTATTATTACCAGGTTCCAAGGTTTTAACTCTCCGGTAAGATAGCAAGCTCTTTGCCAGTGAAAGCCCAAAGAACATGAAATGTCGAGATGTATATAGCAGAAGAGTGAATTCATGTGAGTTAATACATTTGTTTAATATATTCATATTATTTTTTTTTAAAATGTATTTCTTAAATATAAATTTTGGTTTATCCCGAGTATGACACTGAGCTGAAGGAAAGAGAACAGAATTTTATGGAGTTAATGAACCTTTTATTACTTTTTCTTGTAATACGAGCAGAGATATGAAGGCCCTGTTAACTACAGGGGGAATCTGTAGCAAAACTACCTTGTACTAGAAACCAGGGGAAAGTCTATGATTCCTTAGGGGCATTTCCCATGACAATTTTCTGACCTTTCGTAGTAATTTACTGACTCTGTAGTAATCACCTTACGTTCTACTGTGAATTTTAGAAAATTATTGCTAGTTATTTTGTCTCCAGGGTATCATGGTAGCATTTATAAACCACAGGCCTTTTAAGATCTTAGTATTCACTTGTATGGTTCTCGTGTGCAGTTGCATGTAGCAATTGCAGTCTTCTATTTTTGCAAGAAACGCCTCTCTTCTCCTTTATGATATATTCAAAAGTTATTTTCGTTTTTTATCTTACATTAATTGAGGGTTGGTGTCTCATTATCAATACTATGAAACTGATGGCGTTTATACAAATCAAAACTTTATTTTACATATTAAGGTTAAGGCTAAAATAGTAAATTAATTCCAGTACTATATTAAAATACGGAAATTAGTCTCAGTATTATTATAATTTTTTTGCATTTTTAGTCTTTATATTTTTATAAATATTTTATTTTATTTTTTTTACTGTTAATGCACGCTAACATATTTTGTGAGTTAAAGTTAGACGCATGATACTGTATGATCAGAGCATTATACATGTCAGTTATATAACATGACATTTAATATGTCGTGTTTCTAAAAGTCGATAGAACTAAAAAAAAAAATAAAAGGGTCCATATAGGTGAACCTATCTAGAAAACCAGGTCAGTGACTGTCCGCTGCCACCTCCTCTGGAATCAGAGTGTCCTCCACCACCATAACCTCATCTGCCGTCTACTATTACACCTCGACGTCAGTTGCCGCCGTTTGGCTGCTTTCAAAATGAATTGCTTTAAAGAGTCAAGCCAATAACTGGAGCATTCCAGAGAAGAATCAAGGATGTCCTGACAAACTTGACGAGGAAATGCCTTGGTAAAGACATTTGTAGCTATAATGTTTGATATGCGACTCTCTTCTCAGCACGAAGAAGAAAGCCCTTGCTTCTGTAGATTTCAGTGGCAGACGACTTGCTGACAACTCTGATTTTACCCTTAATGATTTCATCGGCAAGTTACCAGAACTAGCAATCTTCTACGCCAACTTAAACAAATCACCAGCACAACCCCAAAGGTCATGAAAACCCAAGTTAACAACAAGTTGCCTGACAAGTTTTTGACCAAGCTTTTCACCATACAACACTACTTAGATGATTGATAATTTCAAATCTTCCTCAGAATGCCCTTGATGATCTTTCTAAGAAAAGATCATGCACAGACAGGAAAGGAGGAAGAGAACATCAACGATGAAAGTTAAAAGTGATTTCACACATTCCTAATCACTCAATCTGTGCATTATTAATCAACATTTTAACATGATAAAAAGCATCTCAGTTTTGATGGCACATCAGTAAAACCACACATTCGCAATCACTCAATCTGTGCATTATTAATCAACTTTTTAACATGATCCAAAGTAGCTCAGTTTTGATGGCACATCAGTAAAACTTTTATGAGAAGGAATCAATCACTACAGATTTGGATTGCATCAAGCAGACAACCATCTCTAACTATATGTTTTAGATCTACAATAAAATGGTCCCGGAGAAACCCGAATCCAAAAGTTCCATTCTTGTACAGCCAAATCCTCCCTTCTGCATTCCAGGGATTGCTTGAAGTTTCTCTCAAACCCGGAATAACTAAATCGTAACTTGAGTTGATGTATAAAATGTGAGAGACAACCTCAAAATCTGGGAAAGGAAGATGACCCTCTACAAGATCCTCTACCACTGGTTGGCAGAAATGGACTCGACTATCATACACAGATTCTTCCTCTGGTGAGAATGGAGAATCAATAAAGGTAGAGTTCGTTGTCCAGAACACTGGAGAATAACAAGAGGATAAATCCCCAATCCTTCGGCAGATGACACCACCAACTTCATCGTAAGTAACAAGATAAAATTCCAAATTGGTTCCATCACAAAGTCCCTGCGATTCAAGCAGGAGAGAATAAAAAACTAACTGTTGAAGAGCTCTTGTCCAAATATTCCATCCTCATCCTTCAACAAACTTTTGGAAGCAAAATGTTAAGCAATAACGCAGAGAAGGAAGCCATGGAAAGCTAAGTTTGGAACAAATTAATTAAGTCGGGATCTACAAATGAATTCCACTAAATTTCTTATTTAGTTCCCAAACGTAGCCTTACTTAAAAGAAACTAGCAACCTCTTACAACAGCAACTTTAGTATTGCAGCTATGAAATCCTTGATTTCAATATTGAGCTTAATACTGGTAAGTGAGAACTAATACTGCATCAAATGCTTAACAAGAAGTAGTTCCGACTTCCTGATTTCATTGACATAACATCAGAAGCTAGAAATAACAGTAACGGCGACTCCATGGGACATCCAGTGACACCACAACTCAGACAACAACCTAAAAAATTTATACCAAAATAAAGCACAACATTCATGACCCACGATAGGCAGTTAATGACCATGCAAGAACACATCAATGGACTAAGAATGACCATGCAAGAACACGTCAATGGACTAAGAGAGTTCGAAACTTTGCTTCGTAAAAGAAAAAAATAGAGAAGATAAAGCAAGAAAACTGCTAGTATTTCAATCAACAACACCTTCCAAAGACCTTGCAGAGGCCTTGATGGGGTCGGCGAGCAATCGGAGACCTTGACGAAATGCTCTGGCTCCCACTTCCTTCTCCCCTGCCTTCCCTTCTCCTTCCTCCTCTGCCTCCTCCTGTCGCTACCGGGACTAGTCCGGTTGGCAAATTGGGTGTACATTTCACTCACCGAACACTCTGGCAAGCTTCCGGGAATCCCGCCAACGACATCTTCGCTTTCCTCTCCTCTCAAGTTCCCGAAGCTCGAGCTTCTGCGAAATCCGATTCGTTTCTCCTCTCGCGAAGTCGAGGAAAGGCTATGGTCTTCCTCCACCAAAACATGACCGTTTCCCATGAAATTGACATTGACAGGAACGAAACTGCCATCCAAGATTCCAAACTTGAAGCAAGCCTCGACATCGCCGGACCAATTGTTCTGGCCGTCGAGGTCGAGGAAGTTCAGGATTTGGCCGTCCGGAGATATGCCCATCCACAAAAACGGCGCCGTTTTTACCTGATAAGTTCCGTTCTTGGAGGGGTAAACCCTCGAAGCACATAGGAAAAATGGTCCCCATTCGAAGAAGATCAAAGGCGGAGACGAAACTGCTGTGTTCGTCTGACCGCACCGGCGCCAAAAGCCAATCAGATTCTTCCATTCCTCGAGGGTCCTGTACAGTTGCCTATAAGTGATCCTCCCGTTTCCCCATTTCCCTATCTGGGTCTTCGTCCCCCACCTCCTCTCGCACAGCGCGCACCAAAGTTTCCTGTCATCTCGACAGAGCGAAGCGAAACGTTTTGATGTGCAAGCAAAGCTGGAGATCTCGGTCGGCGACAAAAATGAGAGGATACAGAGCTGAATGTCCTCGGGGAAATCATTGAAGCACAGTGACTCTCTTTCCTTGATTTGACGAGTTGGATCTTCCACGCTGGTCATGTTTGGTGAATTTTCTCGGAAAAATTACACAGGATGATAGAAAATGGAAATGCGTATGTAATGAATTGCAAGATTTAGGATAAGATATAAGGAAACCAAGAGAAAGAAAAATGTACTGGTTTGGTAGATTCTTGGTGAAGACGGAATGATTCTTTGGAGTGTAGGAGGAAATCTTGAAATTTTCAGCGAGGTCTGCAATTTCCGTAAGATGTTAGGATACAACTATAATTCGGATAGAAAGCAGGGGTCCCAATAGGATTGTTGCTTTTTGAGTAACGGTGCACAGTTGTTCTCTAACACCCATTTGTCGGTTTAATAATGGCATGCGTTGAGTTTAACTCTTCTAGTGTGTTTTTAGGGGAAAAAAAAACAATTTCTTAATTATTTGCAACACTATCATAAATTTCATGAAGATAATACATTAAAAATAATAGCATAATTTATCATGTAGTTATCACACTGATAATATTTTAAAACTACAAATTTAAATAAACACGTATTCTGCCGTCTAAACTAATAATATTCAACGTATCTTTAATCATAATAATTTATTATGATAAAATACAAAAATATATAAAAATTATAATAGCCTAGATCGGTGAGGGAGAGTGAGATGGACGGTTAGGATGAGATGGGCGAAATCAATAGCTGGGATGTGAATTTGTGATAGGTATAAAAAGGGGGCGTCGGGCAGAGAGAGGGAAGGAGGAGAAGAAAGAATATAAAAGGGAAAACAGAGAGTGCGGGAGTGAGAGGGAGATGATTGAGAGAGAGACAGTAATCGGAGGCGAGTGCGGAAGGAGAACTGTTGAAAGTTTAGGAAGGAGGTGAAGTCACAGTAGCTTTGGAAGATAGAGGAGGATGGAAGCAAGATATAAGAGAAATGTGGAATTTCTACACTAATTTAGGGCAAACCTCAATGAGATTGTGTGTGTAGGTTAATGAAGATGCTCCTCGTCAAGGAGATGGAAGTCGAGGCGCGATATTAGCTAAGGACGTGCGAAAGTAGTCGAGGTCAGAGAGAGGAGAGGGAGTAAGTTTAGAGAAGGGTGTACGTGTGGGCAGTTGGTTGTGTGAGGGAGAGGAGTGAATGAGAGGTGTCGTGAGGACGAGAATGGAGCTTGTGGATGATGAGTTGTCTGTAACCGAAGGGGTGAGGTAACTGTGAGAGTGGGATACATTATTGTACAGGTATAACTATAGGCGGCAGGTGATTGGTGGCGAGTATAGATGCAGTTGTGTGTGTGTAGGGCTACTTGCCGAGGGTGACTCCTTCTATTGTGCATGGATGGTGGCTCGTGGGCTGTGTGTGTGAAGCTGTAGGCAGAGTGGGGTTTACGTGATACAGTGGGTAGGTTGGGCACTCTGTGTTGTGTGTATGTATAGGTAGTTAGGTGTGGGAGCCCTCTAGCTGGTGTTGGTGGATTCTGGTAT